TACTTAGTCATTAAAGAGGATGAGATCTTGCCATTTATGATAACATAAATGGATCTAAAAGGGTATTATGCTAAGTGAAGTTAGAGAAACAAAAATACCACATGATTTCACTTATACGTAGAATCTACAAAACAGCTGAATAAAAAGCAGAATCATTTATAAATACAAAGAACTGAGGTTGCCGGGAGATGGGCAAGATGGGTGAAGGGGAGTGGGAGATACAGGCTTCCAGTTATGCAATGAATAAATCACAGGAATAAAAGGCACAGCATAGGGAACACAGTCAATGATATTGTAATACTGGTGTGTGCCTACACTTGCAGTGAGCAGAGCATAAGGTATAAAGTGGCTGAATCACTATGGTGTCCACCTGAAACTAATCTAACATCGTGTGACAACTAAAAAAAAAAAATGTACAGTGCTTCTATTTATAACAGCAGAAGAATGGAAACAGTCTAAATGTTCTTAATAGGGAACTGTCTGAATAAACCATATGACATCACATGATGGAGTTCTGTGTATCAGTCAAAAGAAATGAGGAAGATCTCATACTGTAGAGTGCATAGGCTGTAGAGTGATCTCTGGGATTTCAACTAAAACGAAAAACAGGTGGGGAGCCTGGGTGGCTCAGATGGTTGAGTGTCCAACTTTTGATTTTAGCTCAGGTCATGATCTCAGGGTCATGAGATCAAGCCCTGTCAGGCTCTGCACTCAGTGGGGAGTCTGCTTAAGATTATCTCTCTCTGGGACACCTGGGTGGTTTAGTTGGTTAAGCATCTGACTTCACTCAGGTCATGATCTCAGGGTCCTAGGATTGAGCCCTCCATCTAGCTCCTCACTCAGTGGGGAATCTGCTTGTTCCTCTACCCCTTCCCTGATCACGCTTGTGCTCATTCTAATAAATAAAATCTTAAAAAAAAAAAGATTCTGGGCGCCTGGGTGGCTCAGATGGTTAAGCGTCTGCCTTCGGCTCAGGTCATGATCCCAGGGTCCTGGGATCGAGTCCCGCATCGGGCTCCCTGCTAGGCGGGGAGCCTGCTTCTCCCTCTGCCTCTGCCTCTGCCTCTCTCTCTCTCTGACTCTCATGAATAAATAAATAAAACATTAAAAAAAAAAAGATTCTCCCTCTCCCTCTGCCCTCCCCCACCTTGCACTCTCTCTCTAAAATAAATACATCTTTTAGTGTCTGACTTGACTTCAGCTCAGGTCATGGTCTCAGGGTCCTGAGATCAACACTTGCATCAGGCTCTGTGCTCAGAGGGGAGTCTGCTTCAGGATTCTCTCTCCCTCTGCCCATCCCCCTGCTTGCTCAAGCTCTCTCTCACTCTAAAATAAAGAAGTAAATTTAAAAAATAAAATAAAATGCAGAACAGTATGCATTTAAGAAAGAGAAAGAAATGTAGTTACTCGTATTAAGGGAGAAAAAAATGGAAGGATCTCAGTGACTAATTAAAAAAATTTTTTTTTAAAGATTTATTTGACAGAGACAGAAACAGCGAGAGAGGGAACACAAGCAGGGGGAGTGGGAGAGGGAGAAGCAGGCTTCCTGCCAAGCGAGGAGCCCAATGTGGGACTCGATCCCAGGACCCTGAGATCATGACCTGAGCCTAAGGCAGACGCCCAATGACTGAGCCACCCAGGAGCCCGACTAATTAAAATTCTAACCCACAGAGTAAGGAAAGTAACAGGCTGAGGAAGAGAAATGAAAGCCTTTTTTTCCTCTGAATATACCTGGTTTACAATTTCAACCTTAGGACCATGCAAATGCTTCACAACACTATAAAACAGGATCAATTCAAAAAGAAGAAAAAAGCAATCCCTAAAAATTAAGAACAAATATACGTCAAACTGGTGACAAAACCACTCAGAGAACTATTTCAAGTGACTTTAAAACAGTCAATCGACCACACATCTGCTGCACGAAACGTCCTAAGGACCAAAAGAACCACAAAGAAATATTAAACTATTTAGTATTAGTCATGTTACTACTGTTGTTTTGAACATATACACAATTGTTCTGGTGGCATTAAGAACTTTTGTTTTTAAGATTTTATTTTTAAGTAATCTCCACACCCAACATGGGACTCAAACTCACAACCCCAAGATCAAGAGTCACATGATCCACCCACCAAGCCAGCCAGGTGCCCCAGGAACTAAGATTTTCAGCGTAAGAGGAAAGAAATATAAACATTAAATTATAAATGTACATATAAATTACAAATTACACATTAAATTACAAAAAGAAATTAAGTAAAAATCTCACAATCTTAAATCTGGCCTGGAAATACCAAGGTGAATTCATGATGTATTTTTCTCTTCCTGGTTTTGACCACTCAAAATGTCTAGAAGTAATGACGACCAGTGCAATTAGCACTCCTGACACCAATGTGAGGTTTTAACCTTCCCATACCATTTTCCACTAAAAGAAACCACAGTTTTTAGAGAAACAGCCAATTCCAGGTCCTAGTGAAACGTGTAAGTGATGAGCTCTGGACATCTTTTAGGCCAGAAGGCAAGGAAGCAATGAAAACATCTGGGTCATGTCAAAAAGACACACACCAAACTTAATTAGACTCCCAACAGCCACAGATGGGATGGTTTGAGCATTAGAAAAACAGTACCTGCAATGGATTGAAATACAAGTGTTAAAAATTCGAGAGTTTATAACGAAGAGGGAGACCTCTAAAAGTTGCAGGAACCCCAACTCATTTTCTGAACACTGACAAAGGGAAAGAATCAACCATTCATCCTTTCTTGCCTGAATTCTATTTTAGGGTATCCCAATAGTGTTGACAGAAAGTTTATAGAATAACTGATGCTAATATAGGAGGAAAGTTAAAATTAGAAAACAACCATTTTGTGACCCCAATGAAATAATGCATCTAAGCAATAATCATAAATGGCTGCAAAGATCATTAGGTGAAAGACTGATGGATGAGTCAGGACTGTCCATGAAATCACTGATCAATCTTAACATTTCTAAATGAAGAGAAAACTAGACAGCACATCCTCCTGACCTGAGTCAACAGCAAATATCCTAATGAGGTACCTCCAATTTAAAAAATTATACCTGAATCTAATTAACTCTCTAGACCTAATTGCCAGCTCACAGGAAATACTGGGATAGAGAAGCACACTAAATGTCACCAGGAGGATCTGGTGGGAAATGTCTATAGGACAAATGACCCATTTTCCTCAACAAATATATCACAAGGGAAAATGGAGGGGAAGGAGAAACTATTTCATATTAAAAAGAGACCTAAGAGATATACCCACAAAATACAATGTTGTATCCTTTTGGGATCTTGACTTGAAGCAGCATTAAGAGGCCATTTTTTAGACAATATGGAAAATTTGAACATTGGATATTAGATGATATTAAATTACAGTTAATTTCATTGAATGAGAATGTTTAAATTTTTAAAAATACAGTGCTTCATAAAAAGCTCTTCTACAAACATTACCCTGCCACTGAATACCCAGAAAATGTCCGATAAATACTGGTTAAGATAAATGACAAGGGCAACACTCCCCTGTAAACTTTCCATTTCACCCTCCCCAAATAAAGGATAAACCCCTGGCCTGTTACTCAAGTCACTACCCTCCCTCACCACCAGTCCCAACCATATTTCCCAAGGCTTCCCCTTTTTTGCCTCTCTATTTTCAGACAAACAGGACTATTTGCAACTTTCCGCACAGGTCACACGATTTCCTTCCTGCATGTCTCTGAAGGCCCTGGAAGGCCCTTCCACTATCTCCATCTGTCCAAATCCTCCCCTCTTGAAGACCCATCACCAAAGTTATCTCCTAAATAAACCTTCTTTGAACCTCCCATCAGAAGTCAGTATTCCTGTAGTTCACCTGTGACATCTATAACATCTTATCTCTTCTGCTATTTTAAAAATACCTGTTGATGTAGAGAAGACATTAGGGTCCGAAGCTGAGGGCCAAGAAAGAATTCTTGAGACGCCTTTGGTGCAAAAAGGTGCTTTTATTAAAGCACAGGGACAGGACCCTTGGGCAGAAAGAGCAGCACTGGGGTCATGAGGAGTGGCCCCTTATATACTTTCAAGTTGGGAGAGGGTTAGGGATAGCCTAAGTCTAAGGAATTTTGGAAGCAAGCTTTCCAGGACCTTTTGCCCTTAACAAAGTATAAACACTAAGGCAGCTGAGTTCCTAGAGGATTTTCACTTTGCCTATTTTAAGGACTTGTCAATGGGCTGTAGGTAGTAAGGAAATAGCCAAAACTTACACTGATTATATAACAGATTACTCAAAATTACGAAGAGCATTACCAAAATAGAAGTGTAGGAACTATCAGAGAATATAAAAGAAGGGTCAGACACAATTGGACTCTGCCACATAAGTGCACGATCTAGGATTAATTACTTTAAATAACAATTCCCTGTCTCAATTTTTAATAATGCAGATCTCCTGGGTATGTTTAAGGCTAAATAGAGTATGTAATGCCATCGCCTGGAGAGCCTCAATAAACAGTTCTGATTCCCAGCATCTGTGTCCCTCTGGGGAGAAACTGCGTTCAATTATGCTTTGGATCCTAATCCCTGGCTCTAGGTCTGCCAAAAGCTATGAACCCACTGAGCGGTTCAGAAATAATTAAAACGGGAAAGGACGAAAGATGTAATAACAACACCCAGCATTTGCATCAAGAATCTCCTTGAGATGTGGAGTACTATCATCTCCGTTTCACAGGTGAAGTAACTGAGGCTCAGAACAAGAATGGGGTCCAACAGCATGACAATATGGAAGCCCCAGCCCCATGGCCTCTCCTCGGTCTCTCTCCGTCCATTGCTCTACAACTCTTAAACTGAAGCCAGGACGCGACCAGGGGGCTTCCCTTCCCAGAAGTCTTTGCAGCGCCGCGGAGAACTCTGGGATACAAATGGATAAACAAATCCAAGGCAAGGGCCGAGACCTAGGACCGAGAAACTCCATCGTATGCCCGCCGAATGTCTTCTTCATCCCCTTTGTGTGCTTACCTTTCCTGGCGCTGCCGCTATTGGGAGCGTCACCAAGGCCCGCAAAGGCCGGGAACAGCGCCATGATCACAGGCCGCACCGCCGTTCCCTTCGACAGAAATGGCGCCGGTGAGCGGACGCCGGTAGTGAGGCCTTCGCTCTCGCGGCGCACTCTGGGAAGTGTGGTTTTTTACCCCGGCGCTCCCTCGGGCTTGACCGGGGGACTGGGCGGGGCGACGAGGGGGGCGGAGCCACTTCCGTGTAATTGATCTCCGAAGGCTTCTTTGAGAACCAGGAAAATGGAGAGACCCCGAAGTGGAATTTTTCAAAGGTGAAAGTAGCAGGAGCTGGGATCCTAGTTCGACCCCTGAACCCACACTATCACTAACTAGGTCAGAGTAATCAAGCTCTGTAAGCTTCAGTTTCCTCTTATGCAAAATGTTCCTAAGATTAAATGAGCGTTGTTAAGTAGGGTGCTTACTTAGTTGTAGTTGTGCCTGGCCCATAGGAAGCACTTGAGAAAAGTTAGCTATTACGTGAGTTGTGACTGCAGATCGAACTCAAAGCCATGAGATGACGGAACTTCATTGAGGCACCTGGGTGGCTCAGTTAGTTAAGCATCTACCTTGGGCTGGGGTCGTGGGGATCGAGCCCCTCACCGCATCGGGCTCCTTGCTCAGCGAGGAGCCTCTTCTCCCTCAACTGCTCCCCCTGCTTATGCACCTGTGCTCTCAAATAAAGTAAACTCTTAAAAAAAAAAAAAAAACTAAGCAATACAAAAGAATAGAACCTATCAGGTTCAAAGGTCTTTGCTAGTTAGAGAACTTATTTACCGACCCATGAGGTATTCTTGACTAAAAAAAAAGAAAAAAAAAGAATTTGAATCTAATCAAGCCTGTTATTAGAAATATAGGGGATAAAGAGAATTTAAAGAGTTCATACCACCTGGAAGCATCATCCAAATCCAGAATGTGGGAAATTATAGAAAACAATCCAGTTTCTTCAAAAAATCAATAGCTTTAAGGGTACAGAAGATTGCAATAGATTAAAAGACCTTTAGAGATGTATCAACCAAATACAATATATGGCCTTGTTATGATTCTGATTAGACATTGTAAAAACATCTTTGTGAGACAGATGGAGAAATAAGAGGTGGACAGAGTGTTAGTAAATTACATCAATTAATTCTTGTTAATTTGGTTAGATGAACTAATGGCACTAAGGTTACTTTTTGAAGTTCTTATAGGGGCGCCTGGCTGGCTCAGTCGGTAGGGTATGCAACTCTTGATCTTGGGGTTGTAAGTTCAAGCCTCACATTGGGCTTGGAGCATACTTTAAAAAATAATAAAGTTTTTATGTATTGGAGATACATACTCTAGTATTTGCAGGTGAAAATAGATAAGTGAAAAAATATTTCTGTGGATCCCAGGGAGTTCAAATATCTCTAGAGTTAAATAGAAAATATATTAGAAACCAAATAGTTACAAATCTAATCAAGAGACGGGTGGACTCAAGAAAGCTGACCTTGTGTGAGTCCAAAATGAACACCCTTCATGCTTTGAAGACCTCTACATAGTGTTTATAAAAAGGAGGGGTATGGTGGTAGGGGTAGTAAACCTTTGCATGCATGCAGCTTAAAAACTCAGGTTCTACCCAAATCTCTGGCTCTAAGTTACCTCAATCAGTTGGGGCAGCATCTGCCTCCTTAGCAGACCAGTTTGCTTAGCTGGGATGGTGACAGTCTTGTCCAGTGCTCCATATTTTTTCTACTCCAGAAAAATAAGTAATATGGAACGCTTGGGAGAGTCAAAACCATAATAGTAATGGTTCTGGAAGCAGAAGGAAATCTGGGCATGTTAGATATTTTCTGTGCTACAAATGTGTCAGAGAATTTGGCTTAAGAGACCCCTCCTTATAAGAATAATTTAAAGTGTATAATCAAGGGGTGCCTGGCTGGCTCAATAGGAAGCGCATGCTACTCTTGATCTCAGAGTCGTGAGTTCGAGCCCCACAGTGGGTATGGAGATTACTAAAAAAAATAAATAACTTTTAAAAAATAAAAAAAAGGGCACCTGGGTGGCTCAGTCGGTTGAGCGTGTGCCTTCCGCTCAGGTCATGATCTTGGGGTCCTGGGATCAGAGCCCCATATCAGGCTCCCTGCTCTGTGGGGAGTCTGCTTCTCCCTCTCTCTTTGGCCCTCCCCCATCTTGTGCTCTCTCTCTCTCACTCTTTCTCAAATAAATAAATTTTTTTTAAATAAAATAAAAAATAAAAATTGTGGATAACTGAGTAACTGATATAAACCTCTGATTTTAAGTTGAAATCTTATGAAGTTTAGGCCACCTAAGAGAATTTAAAGTTTACTATATGTGTAAACATAATTGCTTAACTTTATAAAAATTAATACTTGACAGGTAATTGAAGTACCTGTAAAAGAAATAATGTGTACATGCACTATTTTGGCCTTTTTTTTGTGAAATGTTGAAATGTTCTATAATACAGAATTTTTAAACTAAAAATTAAAAAGCTAACTTTTTTAAAAAGCATAACAATAAGAGGGAACAAACTACACACACAACAATATGAATGAATCTCAGAATCTGTACGCTGGGTAAAAACAGGCAGGTAAGCACAAGAGTACTTACCGTTCGGTTCTATTTATACAAAATTCTAGGAAATGCAAATTAATATATAGTAACAAAGCAGATCAGTGGTTGCCTATAGGGCTGTGGGAGCAGAGGGAGGGATACTCTACAGGAGGCATGCAGAATCTCTTGGGGGTGAAAGAAATGTTCTGGATCTTGATTGTGTTCGTGGTGGTTTCACAGAAGTGTAATCACCACCTGGTTTTTTTAAAGGCTTAAGAACACACCAAGGTTTTGAATTTGTTGTTTTAATAAATTAAAGACTAACCGGCAGTCAGCAAACTTTTTCTGAAAAGGGTCACATAGTTAAGTATGTTAGACTTAGCAGGACATATGGTCTCTGTGGCAACTACATTGAAATTTGAAGTTCGTACAATTTTCACATGTCACAAAATATTCTTTTTTCTATTTTTTCCAACATTTATAAGTGTAAAACCTATTCTTTTCTTTTTTTAAAAGATTTTATTTATTTATTTGACACAGAGAGAGAGACAGCGAGAGAGGGAACACAAGCAGG